CCGCAGATACAGAGAAATAGTGTATAGTGAGGACCAGCTATAAATTATGCCCCAACTATAAGTTATGCTCAGATTGTATAGAGGGTTGGCACAGTTAATCTGACTGACTCCCATGTTGTTCAAGGTCAACAGTTCACATATTAACATAAACACAACTTTCAAATTCGGTATAACCTCATTTCCTGTACTGGACCTTATCCCACAAAATTGGCAAATTAAGTGATATTTCTCCAATGACATCCATCGATTTGGAGATATGCCCTTATAACTGATTACAGTAAAAATATTAAACATGCTGCAAACCTTTGCAACATATGTTCTGAATGTAATAAAATATTTTATTTAAAAATTAACTTCTTAAAATATTATCGTGCATGCTTAAGGGTGGTATGCACTTCAGTCATTAGAGTGTTAAAGTGTCTTCTCACATTTTAGAAGCTAAGGAGTGACTCTGAGGTGGCAGAAAACGAGCAAAGATGTTTGCTCATTGTAATTTTAACTATACAATTAACTGTGTTCGTGGAACAAACTCAGATTTACATGAAAAGGTTCACAAAAATAAAAAATCTGTTGTCGTTTGGAATTTCCCCCTGAACAACTGATCTTTATTGTGTGAGGTCAGAAAGGGCCCTCAGATTTCATGGCTTTAAATCTTTCAATCATTTTCTCTTGCTGATGCTTTGCTCCACTGCTAAAGGACTCTAGATTGCAGACGAAGATTATCACTAATGTTCAACCTTCTTCCCTCTGCTTTTCTGTTTATCAGTCTTTCTCAGTTCACTTCTATAGCTTCAGGTATCACTTCTATGCTGCTTCTTAATTAGTTACCATTTTGACTGTTCTCCCTACCTGATAGTTTTACTTGAATTTCCTGGTGTTCCAACAAAATCCAAACTTCCAGAACTCTTCTGTATCCTTATTTCCAAAGAGTTATCTCCATCTTGATGGTTACTCAGAAACTTAGTGACATTGCTCACTTCTCCTAGTCCTGACTATCAAAATCTTAACTATCTCCCAAAACTCACATTAAATGTCACCACACCAAAATACCCTTCCTGGATCTACCTGGTTCAAATAAATCTCCCATTTCCGATAAAAAATAGAATTTGGGTTGTACTACATTTAGAGTTCTTATCATATTGTTTGCCCTGTAAGTTCTCTGAAGGGTATGTATGGGTATAATCAAGTCTTAAATCTTTGCATGCCCTTCAACATTAAGCAGAGTACCTGTAGTCCTTAAATTATGTAATTCTCAAGATTTCAAAAGAAGTTTTACATTTATCAAATTATTTCTTTTGATTCTCACAGACTTGGTAGACAAGTGGCAAAGAAAAGTGAAGACTAGTGGGATAAAAGCACTTTTCTAAGAGTGAGGAGGTGAAGGAAATTCCTTGAAAAGAGTTAGTCTGACAAAGTTTGGTACTTTTTCCAATGTACATTACCTCATATATATAATAGGTTGCTGATAAAGAGTGATTTCAGTTGTGTCTGTTTATATCATAGAAGAAAAGTACAGTAGAGATAATACTTTAAACTGATTCAATAATATAGGAAATACAGTTTTGTAACCCAGCCATATGTGTATGCTAAATATGTATCAAAAATATTAACTGTCCAAACTAAAAAGTAGTCAATGGCTATGAGTAAATATTAACCAAGTGTTTCCTGTAATATAAGGAGAAACTTAAAACTTACTTGCAGAAGCATCCCAAAACTTTATCGATCCATCTGCATGACTAGATAAGAAATAAATTAGCATTAAGTATGGTAAATAAAAAATCATAATTGTTCTAAATGTATAAAAACTTGAATTACTATTAAAATTTGGTTTAAAAATACCATTTCAATGAAAACTAATGTATGCCAAACCATTTCTAAGCTTAAAACAATGGTTTGTTTTTTAAATACCACACAAGAATCTAAATTTTAGAAAAAGACAATAATTACTTAGATTTATTGTAAGAATATTTTATATGTAATAACAATGAAAACTGATCTGTGAAGAAAGAACAGTATAATTTTATATAAAATTGTTTACACTGAATAAAAAGAGACCTGAGTTAGATTACATTAAAATAATTTTGAAATGAATATCATAGCGAAATTAAAGTTCAGCATAAAAATATAAAAAGCAAATCCTTAACCCTATCTAGAGTTGTATTATTATTTGATAATAGGTATAATGGTAATTCTATAAGAAATTGTCTACAAATAATCATTTCCCCAATGACTAATGATGTTGAGCATCTTTTCATTAGCCATTTGTATACCTTTTTTTGAAAAAATCTATACAAATCCTTTGCCCACTTTTAAAAAATTGATATATTTATCTTTTTGTTTTTGAGCTGTAAGGGTTCTTTATATATCCTGAATACTAAACCCTTATCAGATATATGATTTTTTAAACTTTCTTCCATTCACTGTTACCTTTTCACCTGATAGTGAAGACCATTTTATCCTTTTTTTTCTTTGTTGCTTATGCTTTTTCCCCTTTTTCTTCAGCACATTTATTAAATGCATAATTGCATGAAGCCTGAGCTGTGTATGGGCCGTTAAAGGGTTGAGTGCATAGCTAAAACTAGGAAAACTGCTGCCCCTTTCTCATGTTGGCAGAGCAGCTACTGCTCATAGTTGGGCCAGTTCTATGGCCTGCAAACGAGTGGGTAAATATCCCACAGCAAGATTCTGCTGAACTGGAATGAAGCCAGGAGTGAGGGCACTGAGCCACCCTCCCAAGGAAGTGCTCTTAAAGCCTATTCTTCCTGGTGTCCAAGCTCTTTTGCTCTGAAGACAGATGGGGAGCTTACAGGCTCTCTTCTGGCTGGGATGAAGCAGGTAGATAATAGAAAAGAAAGCCAGAGAGACTGGGGAAGGGAGACAGGAGTTGCTTTTTATTGACTTGGTCATGGGTTCCATAGTGGAGCCCCTTTGTGTTTAGGAGCATTTTTCTGCTTCCTTTTTTTTTCCCTGAAAATTCTCCTGCTGCCTGAACTGCCATGCTAGTAATCCAGCATCCATTTCCTATAATTTCTATGTTTTGGTGTAATATCTAAGAGCCACAGCCACAATCATATTCAGGAAATATTATCCCTGTTTTCTTGAGTTTTATGGTCTTAGCTGTAAATTTACATCTTTGACCACATTTGAGTTAATTTTTATATATGCCATGAGGTAATAAGGGTCCAACTTTATTCTTTAGCATGTGGATATTCAATTCTCCCAACACCATTTGTTGATGAGATTATTGTTTGCCCCATTAAATAGGCTTGACACCATTGTGAAAAACCAATTAGTCATAGATGTATGGTTTTATTTCTGGACTCCCAATTCCATTCCATTAAATTATAAATCTAATCTTATGTCAGTACCACACTGTTTTGATTACTGTAGCTGTGTAGGTAATTTTAAAATTGAGAAGTGTTAAGTCCTTCAATTTTGGTCTATTTCAAGATGATTTTGGCTATTTTGGGTCACTTGCCATTTCATATGAATTTTAGGATAAACTTTTTTCATTTCTGCAAAAAGATCATTGGGATTTTGATTTGAATTGTAGTGAATCTGTATATCACTTTGAGATACTGCCATCTTAATAATATTGACTTCTAATTCATAAACATGGAATGATTCCACTTATTTGTGTATTATTTAATTTTTTTCAGCAAAGTTTTATAGTTTCTAGTGTACAAGCCTTTTCTCTCCTTGGTTAAATTTATTTATAAGTATTTTATTTTTTGATGCTATTGTAAATAAAATTGCTTTCTTAATTTTCTTTGCAGATTGTTCATTGTTAGTATATAGAAACACACTAACATATATATAAGATTATGTCATCTGCAAATAGATATAATTTTACTTCTTCCTTTCCATTGTGATGTCTTTTATTTAAAACTGCAACAACAGCAACACTCAGAAAACTAGGAGTAGAATAGAACTTCCTTAACCTGGTAAAGGGCATTTTTGCAAATGCCCTTTTATTTTTCTTGCAAATGCTCTTTTATTTTTCCTGCCTCACTCCTCTGGCTAGAATTTCTGGTTCAATATGAAACAGAAGTAGCAAAAGCAGAAATCTCTGTCTTGTTCCTGATCTCAGAGGGAAAGCTTTTAGTCTTTCAACATTGAATATGACGTTACCTGTGGGTTTTGCAAAAATGCCCTTTACCAGGTTAAGGAAGTTCCATTCTGCTTCTAGTTTTCTGCATGTTGCTGTTGTTGCAGTTTTAAATCGTGAAAGTGTTTAATTTTGTCAAATGCTTTTTTATGCATGAGATGACTATGTGTTTTTTCCCTTTTATTCTATTAGTGTGGGTATTACATTGATTTTTGTATGTTGAAACACTCTTGTATTCCTAGGATAAGTCCCACTTGATCACGGTTTATAATCCTTTTAATACGCTGTAGGATTCAGTTTGCCAATATTTTGTTTAGTATACTTGAATCTATATTTATAAGGAATATTGTTGCAGTTTTCTTTTCATTCAGTGTCTTTGTCTAGTTTGGTATTAGAATGATGCCTCAGATAATGAGTTAGGACGTTTTTCCCTTCTATTTTTTGGAAAAGTTTGAAAAGCATTTCGTGTTATCTATTTAAATGACTGGTAGAATTCATCACAAAGCCATCTGGTCCTGGTCTTTCCTTTGATGGAAGGTTTCAATTACTGATTTAATCTCTTTACTTGTTATAAAGCTGTTCAGATTATCTATTTCTTCTTGAGTCAGTTTTGATAGTTTGTGCATTTCTCAGAATTTATTCATTCATTTAGGTTAATTTGTTGGCATAGAATTGTTCACAGTATTCTCTTATAATCCTTTTTATTTTTGTAAGATTGACAGTATTATACTCATTTTTCATTGTGATTTTAATAATTGTCCCTCCTTTTTTTTTCTTGAGTCACTCTAACTAAAGTTTTGTCAATTCTGTTGAACTTTTCAAAGAACAAACTTTTGGTTTCACTGAATTCCTTTATTGCTTTTCTATTCTCTGTTTTGTTTATCTCTGCTCGAATTTTTATTATTTCTTATATCTGCTGGTATCAGTTTTTCTTCTAGTTCCTCAAGGTGTAAAGATAGGTTATTGAACTTTCTTCTTCCTTTAATGTAGGTGATTACAGCTATAAATTCCCCTATGAGTACTGTTTTTGCTACATCTCCATGCTATTATTTTTCTTTTTATTTATATCAAAATATTTTCTAATTTCCCTTGTGATTTCTCATTTGGTCTGTTGGTTGTTTAAGAGTGTGTTGCTTGATTTCCATATATTTATGATTGTTCCATTTTGTTTCTTCTGTGTTTCTTGACAATCTTGTACATACCTTTAGCAACTTTATTTCCATAAACCAACTTTGGCTTTGTAAATCTTTGCTATTGTACATTTTCTTTCTATTTCATTAATTTTTGTTCTTAACAGTATTATTTTCCTTTTTACTTTTGGGGGAATAATTTTTTATCCTTTTTAACTTCTTAAGATATATAATTAGATCATTAAATTTTAGTCTTCTTATTAACATGCATGGGTATAAGCTTATATTAACTTATATAAACATATAACATGGGTATAAGCTTACCTCTAAACATAGATTTAGATTTATCCACGTTATGATATATTTTAGTTTCACTATCTTTCTGTTTGTGATATATTAAAATTTTATATTGTGATTTGCTTATTAACCAGTAAGCTAGTTGGGAATAGACTGCTTAATTTTGAAAACTTGTGAATGTTCTTTATATATTTTTGTCATGCATTCCTAGTTTAATTCCCCTGTGGTCACAGAACATGTTATATATGATTACAATCCTGTGACATCTATTGGCACTTTTATTATGGTCCTGCATATGGTCAATTTTGGTCTGTGTCTCATGTGCACTTGAAAAGAATGTACATTCTTGAACTGTAGAGTGTAATGTTTTAAATATGTCAGTTAAGTCAGACTTATTAATCATGCTGTTCAAAACTTTCTTTATTGTTATGGATTTTTCCTTTAATTTTAAAATCAGTTGCAGAGAGAGGTTTGTTATATTTTCTTCCACTTATTGCAGAATTGTCTATTTCTTTGTATATTTTGGGGCCCTGAACTCAAAATTCTTATGGATTCATCCTTTTATTATTTTAAAATAGTCCCTTTTACATTTGATAATGCTTCTTGCTTTAAAGTTTACTGTGGTAGGCAGAATTCTAAAATATTCCCCAAGATTCCTGCCTTCTGGATAATCCTGTATATTCTCTGGGACTGTGATATAATAGAGAATATATCACTCCCATTATAGTTATATTATGTTGACTTTAAGAAAAGGATACTATTTGGGTGAACCTATCACATGAAACCTATAAATACAGATCTAGAGGTCAAAGATGAAAGAATTTTGAAATTTGAAGCATGAGAAGTACTGGATGCATTGTTACTGGCTTGAAGTAAGAAGGAGCCACGTGGCAAGAAATGCAGGCAGGCTTAGGTAGCTAACATGCTCTCCCCCCATGACACCTAGCAAGGAAATTGAGAGCTCAGTCCCACAACCACAAGGAACTAAATTTTTCTAATAAAAACAATGAGTTTGGAAGCAGATTTTCTCTCAGAACCTCCAGATGACAACTCAGCCTTTTTAACCCCTTGATTTCAGTCTTATGGTACACTGAGCAAATACTGAATCATACAGTGCCAGATGTCTGACCTATATAGAGCTGTGAGTTAATAAATGAGTTTTCAGCTGTTAAGTTTGTGGTGATTTGTTATGCAGCAATGG